ATTAAAACTGAGTGAATCATTAAAACTGAGTCATTAAAACTGAGTGAATCATTAAAACTGAGTCATTAAAACTGAGTGAATCATTAAAACTGAGTCATTAAAACTGAGTGAATCATTAAAACTGAGTCATTTAAGCCGACTCAGTTTTAATAACCAAAACAGAAGCTGAACAGAACCAGAACCAGAACAGAACCTGAACCCCTTCGAGCTGAAAACTAAATACATTTACAACTGAGCCTATAGTCCTCCAGTGTGGGGGGTCTCTGGTCCCCCGACAGGTCTGGTCCCCTGTGGGTTGTGGGGTTTGATCTGTGTCGGCTGCAGCGACCCGTTTCATTGGGTTTAATAAAGCGGACCAGAGACCCCCCCCCCCCCCCCAGGACTCCATCGTCCTCCATGTGCACCGGCTGATCGGAGCCAGACTGCGGCTTCTGGAACGGGCCCGGCTCGACCCGGCAGTCCTGGCACTCGGTGCTGGTGCCGGGTCCAGGTCCTGTCAGTCCTCATCAGAACCAGCAGGAACCGTTTTTAATTAACCCCAGAAACAAGACGTGGCCCAACAGAACCAGAACCTGCAGGTTCTGAAACCCAACAGACGGGTCGAACCTTAAGAACACAAACAGAGCCACAGAATACTCGGATTACTCTGAAAATACTCAGATTACTCTGAAAATAATGAAACATGTTGGTTCTGATCCAGTTTGTTTCTTAAACTAAATATTTTACTGATTTTGAAGAAAAGTTCGTGTCTTTGGTTGAAGAGTTGAAAAGAGGAACCTCGAGTCCTCGTCCCGGTCCTGGACCCGGTCCACAGAGACCCACTGAGACGCTCCTAATCCGTTTTTGATGAACCCCGATAATGGACCTCCTGCGGGGTCTTTGGTTCCGTTCATTAAGCAGCACACGACCCTGTCCACGCCCCCGGAGCACGCAGTGCGCGTGCCCGTGGATCCGCTCCATAAATCCACCTCAGAACCTCCAAAAGTTCCACTTCTGGTTCCGAGGAGCGAATGATGCCGCCGCGGAAAAGTCTGCTCATCTCCGTGGGTCCTGCGGGAGCGGCGGGCCCCACGGCGGGTCTCAGGGCGGGCCCCACGGCGGGTATCAAGGCGGGCCCCACGGCGGGTCTCAAGGCGGGCCCCACGGCGGGT